GCGGCCACTCCGGATGCTCAGGACCTTGCTCTGCAGGTGCCTGTGACATCACCAGCTGTCAACATCCCCCTGTGACCTCACCACCTGGACAACCCAGCCCAGCTGGGCTGTGGCCACTCCCTTGAACCACCACAAGTGGCAAAGGGCATAGATGACCACCGAGCCCTCAGGAGGGGACGGAGCCGCCAGCAACTCCACACATGGCTCTCCCGAGGCCTCCCTGTCCAACAGCAGGACTACGGACAGCCCAGTAGGGAGGTCCCAAGATCAGGTCCCCCTCCCTGCAGATGCCCCGGTGGTGGTGGGCAGCCCTGCGACATCCGCTGAACAGCAGGATGCAGACCAGGACTCCTTCAAGACAGCTACCTCCGAGGCCGAGTCAACATCTGGGGACAGAGACGAGGATGCAGTTGCTCCCAGCGACAGCCAGGAAACGACTGAAGGGATCACAGTTTTGCTCCCCAGCCGAGACCCAGGTCCCCTGCAAAAGTCCACGAGCTTCCACGACCTGACATGGAACAGGCTGGTTCAAGAGGCAAGGGAAACTCAGAGTCTGGGGGCTTTCCCAAGCCCCTCTCTGAGTGAGGACAAGACACCACAAGTGGAGAGTATTTCCAACAAGGAGCCGGAATTAGCTCCCCCTGCCCCACGTGCTGAGGTACAGCCCACCCAGAACGCAGAACTTCCGCCCACCACGAATGACGCTGAGTCCCCTGCGGATGCCAAGGGTCACCCTCAGGCCACCAGCACCATCAAGGCCGTCGAGGAGAAAGCTGAGGGTCCAAAGGCCTTACACTTTGACACCAAAGCTTTGCCGTCAGACGAGTCCCACGTGGTGACGGGGGAGGATGTGGTGGACTGCTCACGAGAGCCGCGGGCTCGATCTCACTCTCCCTCCCCAGGAGGCGGCGTCCCCCTATTGCCTGGCCCCAACGAGGTGGCCCTGGGGGGGAGGCCCCTGGACCCCAACCTGTACACGGCCAGCGAGGAGAACGACTACATGCGCTCCATGACCAGCTTGCTGGGCGGGGGCGAGAGCTCCATCAGCTCCCTGGCAGACATCCTGGTGTGGTCCGAGACCACCATGGGCATGGACACGGCCATGGGCTTCCTGGCCTCTGACCACAGCACCGTGGCAGACGTGCTGCACAGCGCGGGGCCCGGCCTGCGCTCCGTCTCCAGCATCCTGGGCAGCGCCAGCTCAGCCCTCTCCTCTGGGCTGGTGTCAGGGACCAGCTCTGCCCTGCGCTCCGTCACCCACCTGCTAGAGACGGTAGAGCAGAGGACCATGGAGGGCATCCGCTCGGCCATGCGCTACCTGACCAGTCACCTCACCCTACGCCAGGCCCATGCTGGCCCCAACTGTGACTAGACTCCCATGCAGGGACGCCCGAAGGACTGGCTCAGCAGCCTCCAGAGACCCTGGGACACCCAGGCCCTTGCCCACCCCTACCCTCGATGGCTCCCCCAGCCCGAACAATAAATCACCAGCGAGCGTTTATTTTCTAAGCGCCAGCCTCCTCCCTTGTCCGTGCAGTGAGCACTGCGGTGAGAGGACCAAGGGTCAGGGTGTTGTGGAAACTGAATGTGCCCTGAGGGCTTCTGGGTGGTCCCGTTCAGGGGCTGGGGGCAGAAGCGCACAGAGAAGAGCCTGGGGGCTAGAGTGGGGCCCTCAGACCTGTAAAAGCCCATCCCCACTGGACCCCACCCAGGTAAGCTCCTTCTCCAGGGCGCAGGCTGGCCCAGCCCGAGAGGCCGGAGAGGGCGGGGAGCTTGAGATCGCCCCGCGGACCAGCGCGGGTCCCGCCCCCAGCGCCAGCGCTGCCAGGGGCAAGTCACTTCACTCTGAGCCTCCTCGGCTGCAGAGTGGAGAATGAGCGCACACGACGTTCCAGACATGAGGGGAACAACGCAGGCCGTACGCGCAGCGCCGGGCACTTAACAAACCCACACACTTCAGCTGGGCTGGGGACAACCTGGGAGCAGGGATCCAGGTAGGGTGACCAACCGTCTAGTTTGCCTCGGACTGAGGGGGTTCCAGGATGTGGGACTTTCAGATTTAAAGCTGGAAAACCCCAGGCAAACCAGGGTGAGTTGCTCACCCGAGACCCGGTCTCTTTCCTGGTATCTGCCCGTCGGCGACGACAGGCGCTGCGAAGGCACTAGCAAGGGCAGGCCTCGATTGCAGCAACGGGAGAGCCACCTGCCTCAGAAGCCCCAGCCCACCCTCTGTCCGCTGTGCCACATCTGGTGGTGTGAGTGAAGCTCATGTAACCCTTACTCACTCCCGGCAGTCTCCAGATGGGAGCACTGGGGGTGAAACCAGCCCACTGATTTGTTCAACCTATATTGTGTTTCTCAAATTGTAAATTAATTGCTAATTTTTTTTTTTTTTTTGAGACAGAGTCTCACTCTTTTGCCCGGGCTAGAGCGAGTGCCGTGGTGTCAACCTAGCTCACAGCAACCTCAAATTCCTGGGCTCAAGCAATTCTTCTGCCTCAGCCTCCCAAGTAGCTGGGACTACTGGCATGCGCCACCATGCCCAGCTAATTTTTTTCTATATATTTTTAGTTGTCCGATTAATTTCTTTCCTTTTTAGTAG